AGTTTTAGACCATGTACTACCCTAATAATGCCTCCCCCTTCCCGGCTTCACTCCTCAAAATATTTTTTTCTGAAGTTTCTTCAGAAGTTGCCTCTTGACCCCCTATATTAACAAGACCTTAAGGGCCAAGATTTTTTTTAATTCAGAAAAATGTGCCTCTCACTGAGGTCAAGTAACGCCTGACTTTGGAAACCTCAAGAATCCATAAAGATAGCAGGAAGACTAGAGTTCTACTAGACATTTCTAGCTTATCAGTGACTTTCACTTATGTTTGCTTCTGGATAGAGTAAGCCCTCACTCAAATTAGGCACCTTATCACTAACTGAAAGAGGAGCAGGGAGGAAAAATAAAGAGACCACACTCACTCCACCTCACCAAAGCTGTCTGTTTGGAAAGAAAACACAAAACATGGAGGGGCACTAGACCTTACTAATATAAACTTTCCATCTTAACCACAAATCCAGTGCTCACTGCCTCAGTTTTGGGGAGACATGTTTTCCTTCCAGCTCCAGAGCCGAGAAAGCAATTTTCTGTGTCGGTGATCTCTTTATACAGCTTGACAGAAATACTTACCTTGGATGATGTCATCTTGCCCCCGAAATGTTTGACTTTCAGGAAAATCACCACAGGAACACACAAGAGACTAGAACTATCATCCCCTCCACTTCCAAGTCTAAATTTAGTCCCATCATATCACAAAGCACACGATACTAGAACAGTATTTATATGGCGATGAAGAATGTGTGAGTCACCAAATGTTGCTGAAGAACCACTCCTTTTCCCCTTCCCCATTCATGGCACTGGCTAGGACAGATGGACGCTGCAGACCGACAACCTGTGAAGGCCCTATGCGTCCCACACTACTTAAAAGCAGAGTGGGAGACCTCCAGATGTTCAGTCACACTCCCTCCTGCTCTCACAACAGTCAGATGTTCAGTCACACTCCCTCCTGCTCTTACAACAGTCTCATTGATTGATTGATTGATTGATTGATTGATTGATTGATTGATTGATTGGGGGATCCTCTTGCATCTTTAAGTCATTAATAAGTTTGCCATGACATCAGTCACTCTCGAGCTGTTCTAGATCTTTAAGAGGCCTTTTAAAAAGAAACCAGAACTGACTTCTGTTTTAGAAAATAGATTCCCCCCCCAACCCCACCTAAAACAGCTCACCCCAAATACAGTGAAATTAGAGGGCTTGAGGTGCAGGAGCACAATCCGTCAAGGTTGCTGAGGGCTGCAGGCAGCTGACAGGACACACTCAGTTCCCCCCTGCTTTACAGGGCAGTAAGAAACTAGGATTATTTTACTTATCCTTACATTTTTAACCTCTTTTGCCACACTCAAAGCAGTATTACCTATATACATTTTTTTGAAATCATCTTGATTTTTTTTAAAAAAGCACTTTCATTTCCAAGTTTAAAAAATTATAATAAAGAAAACATATAATGGAGCATTTTTGACACACGATTGCTACAAATGGAATAAGAACCAGTATTACAGGCCATTTTCAGGGTGTGGCCATGACCATAAGCAGTAAAGCACAGACGGCACACCTCTCTGTTCATCTAGACACACTCCTTTCTATAGCTTTGATTCCCAAAATGCAGCCTCTCTTCTGGAATGCAACTTCTTCTAATCTCAAGTGGAGAAACATGAGAAATTGGAGTGTGGTGAGCGTGGGGTGGGGTTGGAACTCCAGTAATCACATTTCAAAGCAGGATTCTTCCCATATGCAACATAATGTGGGGGGAAATGGAGGGAGGAATCATTGCTGTACCTTCCTTACATGAAAGAAGCAGAAAAGACTAAGAAAGATAGGTAGAAGCCAGTAATCACATTTCAAAGCAGGATTCTTCCCATATGCAACATAATGTGGGGTGAAATGGAGGGAGGAATCATTGCTGTACCTTCCTTACATGAAGTAAGCAGAAAAGACTAAAAAAGATAGGTAGAAGCGATTATATAAAGCCGAATCAGAGCTCATTTCATGTGAAAAGGAACTCATGTTATTCATTATTTTTCACCAGCCCAGTTGCTACTATTATTAATCACTGATCCGATCTTCCAAGTTACATGTTGCACATTAGTGGTAACTCCTATTAATTAGTGTAATAACAGTATAAATCTCAGTTTTTTTGAGAGAAAAATGCTACAGTAACATCTTAAGTTGTGATAATTCACTGACAAGATCTATTCCAATTGTGCTATGCCTGAGTAAAAACAGATCAGGATTTTGGCCACTCTGTTGTCATTACAATCAAAATGTGTGTGTGGGGGGGAGATAATCTGATATTGCACCTTGGAAGTAGTTGTAAAAATATAAAGGACAAAACCAATGATAAGAGAACAGCATAAAAATCCTAATAGTACCTTAAAGTGCCTTTAAAAGTTACTTTTGACTTTAAGTATTACTTGCTACACAATTTTAATGTCACCCATTCTACCTAAAAACTAATTCTGTTCTTACTCATTGTATTACTCAGTGCACAAAAAAATAACTAGTATAGTTTCTTGTAACTAGTTACCGCAAACACTGAAACCCAAGCATTTGCTACACCACATCTCTCTCACAATTGAATTTCAGAGTTCCTTGCTTTCTCAGAACCTGAAACAGTAAATGAACCTCCATCTCTGCATATTAATTAGAACAAGGAACCACAACAGCATATGCATGCTACGTTGCTAAGTGCAGTTAAGACCTCTTGTCCAATTAGTACATATGGATTAGTACTGTTATATTTTAACTGCATATATGGAAGCCAGGAAAAGCAGATTATTGAAAAAGAGAACAGAACCGAAAAACCCATGTAATAAATACAGCATTGAAGCCAAGCAGGCACATACTCCACTCAAAAATAAATACCCCAGCATATATAATTACTATTCCAAATTGGGTGAGACATTATTAACTTATTCAAGTTGCCTTGCCAACAGTTTGTAATCACTAGAGACATTTCAAGCTCATCTCCATTCCTCCACCACCACCCTCACCCAGTCTTTGGATTTGATACCAGTCCATCAAAACACTCCCATATGAATAATCAACTTGGAGAGTTACTATTTCATGTTAGGTAAAATGGCAACAAAACAGCATAACATGAATCAGAAGAAATCTGTAATCAAATGTTAAACTGGAACAAGAGCGCAAAGATTTAGTGAATTCAGTTGAGATATGCCAGTCAGATTATTTCAGAAACATGTTTTTCATAGCACATTTCTCCTGTCTTCTTAGCTACACAGTCGCTCTTCATAAACGGACACAGTTCCCTCAAACAAATCTATCAGAAGAAGTGGGCAACTAAAGGACATGCCTTCCCTTGGCTGATGGAAGGGAGTGAACAGAACCGAAGAGGTCCTTCTGCTTTCTCTTTTTCCTGATACTTCTGTATCACAAGTACAGAAGCTGGCATTCTCTCAATGTTTTAGAATATAAAATTCTATAATCCCCAACCTTCAGCCATTTTGGCTATGGATTATGGAAATTGTAGTTGACCAACCCCAGTCAAACAGACTGAATTGACCAAAAAACCTAATGGGTTTAGCTTCCAAGTCAATACTTAAATAAAACAATAAAAGAGCAAGGTTTCAACAGGAAATCACATCCTGCCACCTTCAGGATACAAACAGCATACTAACTACAACTGCATATAGTAATATGCATTCAAGGTGATTACGTCACAAAACATTCCAGGTGGACTAACTGCTTAATCAATCAACTTACTGCTGTCCTAAAGAGATCAATTAAAGGAAGTCATAAGTCACTAAGTCTTTGCCCTTCCTCATGGTTCACCACATTACTTCTCACCTGCATCTCGAAAGCCTCTCTTATCAGTCTCAAATTCCAAGAGTGTGATTGAAACAGCTTTTTTGTTTCATTAAAGTGAGTATCGTGCCCAGTTTCCCATCCATGTTTTGCTAATGCAAAATTTTCTTCTTGGCCGAATCTAAGATAATGCTGATGTTGTATCCATCAAAATTTCAATGCTTCTTCCCATCTGTCCAATATATGTTGAACCACACGAACAAGGAATCTCATAAACACCAGGCACTCCCAAAGAATCTTTCACAGGCTGCATGCACTGACTGATCTTTGGAAAGGGTCTAGTTCAACTTATCTGCAGGCCCTTCCACTACACATGCACAGGAAAGAAAGCATCTCCCTCCACACATCCACACCCACTTTGGAAAGCCACTAGAAATACAGAAAAAACGATGTGAAAGAGGAATGTTGGTTTAGTTCAGGGGTGGGCAAAGTGTGACGTACAGGCTGCAGTATATTTGTGTATTGGCATTCTTTTCTGGACATGGGCTCCTAAGGCTTTCTTCAGCTTCTCAGGGGGAGTCTACAACTGAAAAAAGGTTCAGAACTATTGGCCAGACTCTTGTCAGTACTCACATAAGGTCTGCGTAAGCAAAGTGTCAGGATCTGTCTCAGTCACATACTTGGTTATAGACACCTGAATGTGCAATTGAGACGTGCCCAAGTGCTTTGTCAATCTGCTGCAATCAGCCATGGAAAAGTTATGTAAATATTACATGAACACGGACAGGATTCCTCTTAGGTTCAAAGGCAGATCTTTTTTCATAAGCAGAGGGTGACATCTAGACGCTCTTCATTTTGAAAAAGCCCCCTTAGGGAGCTCATTGTCATTCTGAAAAAGCTCCCATCCTCCCTCTATACTACACAAAGTGAGGTTAAGTATAAAAATGTAAGTGAAGGGTTGGTTTTCCAAGGTTTAGAAGAGTCTGTATGCAGCCCCTGAAGCACCAAAAGCTCCCCATCCTTGCTTCTGGTTTCCTTGCTAGCTGTTTCATCATTTCATCCCACAAACTTCTTGGTGCCCCAGACCAGGCACAGGAATACATTTACTGTAGAACCTTTATAAGAACTTGAAAAGTTTCTCCCAGTCATGAGAATGAGGAGTCAGCCAGTCCTTCTGCATCTATTAACCACTCGGTTTTCCAACACAGCTATGCTTTTCCGCAAGTACTTACCTTCCATGCTGGGCGAAGGAAGAAACACCATCACTAGTACTTGAATAATCATAAGTCCATTTATCATCGTAAACCTAAGGAAAAAGAAAAGAAAAGCTTCAGAGTTCTGGAATAGTACAGTAGCTATCCGCCCCAACTACATGACCTGAGAACTACATCACCAACTGCTTCAATGTCAACTGTCACTTGAAAACACACATCAGTACCTCCCCAAGTCCATATAATAATTACTTCTTAGACAAAGACTGATTTCTATGTGAACAGGAATGAAAAAGCCTCCCCTAAAGAATAAAGAACTTACATAATTGTTTATAAGCCAGAAAGGGCATGCACACATTTACAAGGCTAGAGCTTAAGAGTTTTTTCAAGCAACATTCATATGGTTCATGTGATCAGCATGTATTATGGGGATTCTAGAACACATGGCTGAGTTCTCAGGAGAGATCTGTTGCAAAACAAAGCCAGGTGACCGGCTTGTTTTCTGTTGTTTTCTGTTGTCCTCCCCAACAACAGAAAACAACAGAAAAGAAATTGTCCAATAATTTACCTGTAGTGGGGATCTTATTGCCCAAAAACAGTACCATGGATCTGAGCATGTACATCTGGGTGAGATTAAATATAAAAATGTAAGTGCACTGGAAAATGTTTCTTTACCAGTGATATGAGGATAATCTGTAGTACAGGAATTCGCACACACTCCCAAAACTATGGCAGCCAACAAGATCTGCCACATGTCCAGTGTCTAAAATATTAACTTTATCAGCTTTGAATTTTACAGACCAGTGCTTTCCAAATATGGGATCCCAGGTGTTCTAGGACTGCAACTCCCAAAAGTCCTGATCATTAGCTGTGCTGGTTATAGCTTCTGGGAGCTGTAGTTCAAGAACATTTAGAGATCCATGTTTGGAAAGCACTGGCATAGAACCCAGCTCCTCTAGATGGCTAACTCAGTTATACTATAAATCCTACACAAAATTTGATAGTGTGGTCTGGATGAAGAAGAGACTCATCCAAATAGAGAAGAGGGTTTTAAACGCCCCCAATTTCAAAGTGAGTAGCAACATAAGGCATTACATCCTCCTTCTACTCTCCTCCCCCCCCCCAAGATATATCACCTCAATTTGAAAAGCCATACCAACACCCTACACCTATGGGCACTATACGCATAGCTCAGGGGGTGTCCCTTTTTTGGACACAACTTCCAGAATCTCTGAGTCAACAAAATTCCCCTAGCTGCACTGACTAAGACAGTGGTTCCCAACCTTGGGTCCCCAGACGTTCTTGGATTAAAACACACAGAAGCTTTCACCACTAACTGTGCTGGGAGTTGTAGTCCAAGAACATCTGGGGACCCAAAATTGGGGACCACTCGTCTAAGAATTGTAGCTAAAAACAACATTATCTTCTCTAAGCTTTGGCTCTCCAGATAAACCACCTGTCGAATGGGGCAAGATAAAACAAATTGCCACTGTGATGGTTAGATGCTACCCATCACAAATTTATACAGGACAATGTTGTGTAAAACCAGAGGAAGGGAGGGAAGACAGGAAAGGTATCAAGACAATATACTGCGAAGAAATCAGACTCACTTTCACATGGAAATGCTTCCACCCACGTCACTATTTTAACAGAAGGACACAGCTGGTCTGACCAAAAGAAACCACAGCAGGCATTTTAGTGCTTTTTTTGGTTTTGAAGAGTGCAAGGGCAAGAAAGCCACAAATACCTCCTGTCCCCACACACCTGGAACACACTGGGCTATAAAACTAACTTCCCCCTGCACTCGCAGCACTCAGAAATAAAACAAACAAGAGCAGAATTCTCTCAGCCACTTCATGCAGAAAAAAGGACGGCAGCCAATGGACCGAGCACATGCTTTGCATGTAAATATTCCCCAGGTTCAGTCCCTGGAATCTCCAGGCAACACTGGAACCCTGGACAGCTTCTATCTGTCAGTAGGTATGCAATGCACACTACACAGACTCATGGTCTGGCTGGATATCAAGCCATTGTCATCCACCCTCTCTGCTATAATACCAAGCCAGGAAAAAATTAGCTATTGGTCTCCCCTCACCCCAAGAGACCACAACTCCCAAAAAATGTATTTAAGAATTCAATGACCATTCGAAAAGGAAGGCATCTGAACTCCAGAAAACTGTAGTACAGTACTGTATTTTGTTGCTTAAACTGAACCCTCTCTGCTATAATACCAAGCCAGGAAGAAATAAGCTATTGGTCTCCCCCCACCCCAAGAGACCACAACTCCCAAAAAACATCTTTAAGAATTCAATGACCCTTCGAAAAGGAAGACATCTGAACTCCAGAAAACTGCAGTATAATATTTTGTTGCTTAAACTGGAACGCTCTGCTGGTCATATCCCAGAAGGAAATAGTCCTGAAGTACAAAAATGGCTGCCGACTTCTCCCAACTTTCTGAGAACACAAAGGGCTGAATGACTGAATAGAAAAACAGTGTGCTCCAAAATCTTTCTCCCATCAGTGAAGTAATTTGATGACTATAGGCAGAACCCAGATGGGGGGAAGCCCACATGTGCAACCGTTCTCAAACACAAGAGATTCTCTCCCTGCTAAGGTGGCTGTCACACAACCCATTTCACAACCAGTGTGCAAACAGTCACACAGTGGGCATGCCTGTAAAGGTAGGGAACTGCTTGAACACGGCTGCATGTGTTTTGTTTTGTTTTCCTGACTACATGCTGACTTTGGTAGGTCTGTCTTCTTCATTACAAGATACCTTAAAGGCAAGGTTGAATGAGCAGCTCAGCTGACCCCAAATTGATCAAGGACGTTTAAGGAGGGTAGAATGAGCATACAGAAAGAACAGGCAGGAATTCTATCTGCCCTAGATATGGTTCAGTGTTGCACTTCAAAGTTCTGAAACATTTAATATGTTGCAAGCTTTGAAGTGTTACACCACCAGTTTAACACAGACACTCTGACAAAATGTTTAGCAGGGATGGGCAGTGGATTAAAAACAACTACTTGAAATGGTTTTCATGCAGCTAGAGAGAGGATAACTGAAATATTTTTTTATGAAGCAGTGCAACGCACCAAGTTCAGAACTATTTCCGTTGACAGAAAACGACTATCAGCAATAACAAACCTTTATCCATTATATTAAACAAACTGTTACTATTACCAAACTGAAAACTCCATAGCAACATCAAGTCAGATACTACGAAAAACACAGTCAGAAGGTGTGGCAAACCCGCACTCCATTCCTAGGGGAAATTCTCAAAAGTTCTTAATTTCGTTGCAGATCCCCTGGACAGCCAGAAAGACGAACAAGCGGTCCTAGACCAAATCAAGCCTGAACTATCTTTGGAGGCAAAAAGGATAAAACTAAGGCTGTCCTATAATGAGAAGGCAGGGTTCTTGGAAAAGGCAGTAATACTGGGAAAGGTTGAAGGCACCAGGAAAAGAGGAGGACCAAATATACGACAGACAGACTCTCTAAAGGAAGCCATAGGCTGGAGGTTACAAGACCTGAGCAAAGCTGTTGAGGACAAGACATTTTGGAGATATCGCATTCATAAGGTCACCACCCTTCAATACTATGAGAAATAGCACCCCCCCGTACGGGGGGGGGGGGGGGGGAGCAGCCTACACTACAGGTAGGCACTGGTTTCCAGAGCACTGATTCATTATGCAACACGAATGCACATTTAGTCAGAAATGCCACTACAACCCCAGTGGATATCGGCCTCAAATACAGATCCTTTGCAAAAGAAAGCAGAGAATAAGTTTTTATTTTATGAACAGTAAAATGTATCATTTTTAATAGTTGTTACACATAATCCACAAAGCTTATATATTACATATCTGTGTCTGTAAGTAGCATTTAATTTAACAGTGACCCTAACAAGGGTTTCAAGGTAGGGAGCAGGTTTTATAAATGCCAACCCAAGACAGACAAGTCTCCATGACCGAGCAGGGATTCAAACCCAAGCCTCCTGAATCCTAGTCTGTCACTCTAACCACTATAGCACTCTAGGTACTAGCCTGTTTCCCCAAAAATAAGACCTTACCTGAAAATAAGCCCTAGTATGATTTTTCAGGATGCTCATAATATAAGCCCTACCCTAAAATAAGCCGTTAAGTGAAACCCCACTCTCCAGCACTGTGCAGCAACCAGAAGATGATGATGTGACTGTATTCGAATAAACATAGATTGTACATGAAAAAATTTAAAAAACCCCTGTAAATAAGTCCTAATGCGTTTTTGGGAGCAAAAATTAATATAAGACCCTGTCTTATTTTTGGGGAAACAGAGTATATGTGTATCAGAAATGCTACGCATGATACATGCAAGTCCCACAACCAAAATGAGTGAATTCAGTGAACAAAGTCACACTTTGTAGAGGGTGGTCTTCTTCTCTTTCCATTTAGAAAGATTTCTTTTTGCCAACCACTGTCTTGTTACAACCACAGATTGCATCCAGTTAATACCTCCAGCCGACAGAACAGCATCAGTCAACTACACAAGTGGCACCCTTGTTCCCTTTTCCCTCGGCCTCTTGCTCCTAAGGGGAAACTGAGGCATTGTGGGGAGGGCAAGTTCCAACCCACAAGCCAAAGTCTGCTCGCACAACACTGGATTGTCAACCCCTCCTTGTTTGGGGTCTGTGTTTTCTCCAGTGCGTTATTTGCCGAAACACTGGACACACAACTGCAACACCGGCCAGAAGGTAGGCAACTAACAGCAGCCTTTATGTAGCTGGCATATGACTAGCAGTGCAGAGTTCCTCCAGAGAATGTGCAGCAGCAAAAATAAGAAATTGTCACCATCAACCTGCCTGCAATGCCAAACCTATTTCCAATGGACAGGTGATAAAAGAAAAGTCCCTTATTAATCACAACTGCTTGTTTCAATGATATCCCAAAAACAGCAGGGACGTGGTGGCGCTGTGGGCTAAACCGCAGAAGCCTGTGCTGCAGGATCAGAAGACCTGCAGTTGTAAGATCGAATCCACGCGACGGAGTGAGTGCCCGTCGCTTGTCCCAGCTCCCGCCAACCTAGCGGTTCGAAAGCATGCAAATGCGAGTAGATCAA